ACTTGTAGTTTCCAGAACTGTGAGTTAGTAAATTTCTGCTGTTTTAATCCACCCAGTGTGTGGTACTTTGTTACAGCAAACTAGGAAGTGACCCTAGCCAGACACATAGAGGTCAGGAAGTTCAGTCTTCAGTGTGCCTGAAAAAAGAGTGGACTTCCATGGTGGGGCAGTGGTTGGGAGTCTGCCTGCCAATGCAGGGGACACGGGCTTGAGCCCTGGTCCGGGAGGATCTCACATGCCGTGGAGCAACTAAGCCCGTGTGCCACAACTACTGAGCCTGCGTGCCGCGGCTACTGAAGCCTGTGCACCTAGAGCCCGTGCTCTGCAACAAGAAGCCCAAGCACCGCAACGAAGAGTAGCCCCTGCCCACCGCAACTAGAGAAAGCCCATGCACGGCAACAAAGACCCAACACAGCCAAAAAAATAAATTAATTAAAGAAAAAAAAGAGGAGGACTACACATCAGTACTGATGGCTACAAAAAGAAGTATCATACTGAATATTCTACGGATTTCATCACAACATGTAGCAAAATCTTGTCAAAATATCTACCTGAGATGGATGCTAACTTGATTTATTGTGGTGATCATTTTATAATATATACAAATATCAAATTATTATGTTGTACACCTGTAACTAATGTTATATGTCAATTTTATATGTGAGTGAAAAAAATCTCTTTCTATGTATGTATCTATCTATCTGTCTACCTAAGATATCTCTCTTCTCTTTTCTAATGTTTCCCTAGCAACTACTCTTTCCTTATCTTTACAGCCTGCAAACAAATTGCTTTTATTTTTCTTGCAATTCACCTCACCTCGTTCAGCTAAATAACAGCCCCGTGATGAGCCAATATTAGCCCCGTGTTCGTCTAACTGCAAGAATCCTCCTACCGGAGGATCTCACACTAACGCGAATATGGGGCACTGGCCAGGGGCTGCTTTGGTGCTTCCAAAGCATCACTGGACTGGGTTTTAATTACCCAAATATGTACACAGTACATTTCTTCCTTCTGATAACTTTAGGTCTTCGATTGCATCACTTACACATATGAGTTAAGGCTGCAGCACAGCAGAGACTTTTCCAGCTATGCATTCCCATTGCCTTGAATATTATTGGCACATGGCACCAGTTTGACTGAATTACTGGATAATTGCTGTTTCATATTTTTGGTGTAGTGCCTTGCCTAAAGGTGTAAACGTCAGCTCATGAAGGTTTGCTGCAGGCAAACATTTACTAGTAGATGTGCATAAAATCCTCTTGTGGGGCTTCCCTGGTGGCGCAGTGGTTGAGAGTCCGCCTGCCGATGCAGGCGACACGGGTTCGTGCCCCGGTCCGGGAGGATCCCACATGCCGCGGAGCGGCTGGGCCCGTGAGCCATGGCCGCTGAGCCTGCGCGTCCGGAGCCTGTGCTCCGCAACGGGAGAGGCCACAACAGTGAGAGGCCCGCGTACCGAGAAAAAAAAAAAAGAAGAAGAAAAAATATCATGTTGTAAGGTAAAATGTACTTTATTAACAGTAAGTACAGAGTCCTTTGTGGCTTCTCCTTGGTATGTTAAAATTATAGGAAAGATCTTGCTATTCTGATTTCCTGCAGCAAGGCAAGCTAGGGACTGGAGCAAATATCAAGGAGCTGTGATTTGAAGTCATACTGAAGTCTCATATTGGCTGAAGGAGGATCTGAGGTCAGGTGGCAAGGGTACTAGGCAGAATATTCTACCTATCTCCCCTCTAGTTCCTTCAACACACATAATGTTATTAGCACATCTTTACTTGAAGGGCTAGCCCAGTAGCACAGAATGCTTCAATTCTCCAGATAACACCTGATACATAAATATTTCATATGTACTAAGCAATCACAAGTCGTTGCTTCTTCCCAGCAAGTCAAGTTGCATAAATTAGTTAATGTTTGGCTTGGATTAATATTTATTAGATTACCATTTACATTAAATTATATTAAAATATTAATTTAAGCATACATTGAGCAAATTTAGTTCCCAACTGTGGGATATTTGCAATGTGTTTGTTGAGTAATTAGACCTTTATAAATCCCTACAAGCTGTCCCTATATATATATGGCCAGATATGCCAAAGGTACGCTTTGAGGAAAACAAGTTATACTTTCTGAAGGTGATTTTTGATGCATATCAGAAGTAAAAGAAGGTATAATTTCGAACATGTGTTTTCTTTGAAAACATTAACAATGTAACCCAAACACTGAGCTATACATAAATGGCAGACATGTAGAATTCATATACACACACATACACACACATATATATGAATGTAGAATATATATATGAATTCATATACATACATAGAACTCATGCGTATATAGAATTCATATACGTATATATGAGTGTAGGATATATATGAATCCATATACATAGGTAGAATTCCTATGCGTATATAGAAGTCATACGTGTCTATATGAGTGCAGGATATATGTATGAATCCATATGCATACATAGAACTCCTATGCGTATATAGAAGTCATATGCGTATATATGAGCGTAGGATATATATATATGAATTCTACACGTCTGCCATTTGTGTAGTGAGCACTTCAACATGCTAGACTTTGCTCTAGGTAGTTCACATTATTTTCATATTCAATACTTACAACAACCCCTCCAGGTAGGATTGAAAATTTTGCTTTATAGATGAGGACACTGAAGTTTAGAAAAGTTAAGTAATTTGGTAAAAGATAATTAATGGTAAATAGTAGAGAAGCTTGACTTTGAGAGTTTCTCTAACGTCACAGCTCCTACTTTTAAGCAATAAATAATAAAGCCTCCAGTGTAAAGTGTGCTTTGCATTTATTCTCTAGAGTTTGTAAAGCTCTCTCTGGAGGGAACCTTAGCAATCTTGCCTAACGCTGCCATTTCACAAAGGAAAGCCTGAAGCCTGGCACGTTAGGAATATTTCACCTGAAATAACTGAGAAGTCCATACCATAAATGCAGTTCTCAAACTATCCAGGAGAGGGGCTATATGTTTTTCATATTATATTACCCCCAAATAACACAACACTTAGTGAATGAATTCATGGAGTTACTCCTTACTTTTAATCCTTTGATGATTTCCCCGTGATATTCAGGACAAAATCCTAACTTTTTATGCTATCAACATAGACTTCCACGATCCATCCTGCCTGGCTCTCCAGCTGATCTTCCATATTTGAGGAACAGGTTTTTTATGCTCTAGCAGAGGTGAGCTGACTGATGGTACCTCCCAGAGGATGCAATGTTGCCCCAGTCTCTGACTTTGTACAAGCTATTTCTGGCTGTCTGGAGGCTCCTTTCCTCCACCTGTTGGGTTGTTTGAGTCTTCAGCTCCTAGAAATGTCCCTAGACAAGAGGTGTCCTTCCTTCTTCATGTTTCTGTGGTGTCCTTCACTATATCAATCTCAGTGTTTCCACACTGTAGTGCAAGTCAAACCATTTGACAGAGCACGTGGAGGGCAGGGCCCAGGACTTAGCCAGAGGCATAATAAATATAAATCCTACTTACTGAATGTGTACAAATTGTCAGATCCTCTACATAAATGATCTCATTTTATTCTCTCAAAATAATGAGAAGAATGTGTCTATGTTTGGACATTGTGTGCCTATGAACACCATTTTTATATCCCCCAAGTCCATTGATTCAAAGCTAAATGTAGTTTTAATTAATTCATATTAAACGTTATACTAATATATTCTCATTCTTTCCATTGAAAAACATTCTTAAAGATGTTAAGTAGGAGGGTACTTTAAAAGTGAAACTCTTTCCCTATAAAATGTTTATTGAGCACCTAGTAAGTGCCCAGCACTATGTTAACCCTGATATTTTGAAAAGGCTGTGTTGAGGAGTGTTGAACAAAGAATACACTATGGGGGAAAGCTTATTTGTAGTGTGAGGAAACAAAGTTGCAAGGTAAGGCTGAAAAGCAAAGGTGGAAATGAAAAGGAAAGAAAAGGAGTAGCTTTTTTTGGAGCCCCTACTAGTCACTTGACATTTTACACACTTTAGAACATTCAGTTCTTATAACAATGCAATGAATTTGGCTGTTACGCGTTGAATCATGTCTCCTAAAAAGCAGTGTTGAAGTCTTAACCCCTAATACCTCAGAATGTGGCCTAATTTGGCATAGGGTCTTTACAGAGGTGATCAAGTTAAAATGATATCATTAGGGTGAGCTCTAATCCTATATGATCAGTGTTCTTTTAAAAAGAGGAAATTTGGAGATGGTCATGCAGGAGAGAAGACAATGTGAAGACACAGAGAGAAGATGGCTGTCCACAAGCCAAGGGACGCCTGAGGCTACCAGAAGCTAAAAGAGAGGCGAGGAAGAGAGTCTTTCCCACAGCCCTCAGAAGGAACCAACCCTACTGATATCTTCACCTTGGCCTTCTAGCCTCCAGAACTATGAGACAACACATTTTTGTCTTTAAACTACCCGGTTTATGGTACTTTGTATGGCAGCCCTAGGAAACTAATACATTGGCATTTTGATCTCTGTTTTTTACATGACTAAACTGAGACTCGGACATAGTAATGTGATCCGTATGGGACAAAGCCTGGGCTGGAACAGAGACTTTTAGAGCCCCCAGATATTGGCTCTTAGCTACGAAGGACACTGAAAAAGTAGGATAAGCAAAAGGAATCGGAGGTTTGAGTACATGAAGAGGAAGGGCCAGTCCTGGGAGGAACTGGTGCCCAGGGAGCTTGTATAGCTGTAATCATTTGTTTCTCCCAACATGGCTGATTAAACCCAATCTGATCATGAGTGTTGCCTTTCACTTAGAGAATTTTCCCTTTCCTGGGTCACACATTGACCCTTTTCTGTGTTTGGGGGATTCTCTGTGTCAAAGGGAATTTGAGCTGCTTATTCAAATGTGTCTGATTTGCACAGGGCGTCAGCCTGAAGGATGACAGGACAAACCTGAGGGGACCACCTCCAATTAATCACAGTGACCAGTAAGTCAGATTTAACCTTCCCAGAGTCTCACAGAGCACGTCACAATCACACCTATTGATTCCTGGTCAGCAGATGCTGCAGCTCAAAAAGCTCCAGGTAAGAGGAAGGAACAGAGCCTTTGTTCTCATTGCCACCAAAGTGCCCAGGCCCTTTAAGAAAGCTGTTTATTCTAGACATTTAGTTGAGAGGTCAGGTCCTATTACTTTCCAACTGAATGGAGTCTAAGACTGTGGTTTCAGCATGATCTTTGGGCCACTTACACAGTCTCTTAGATCGTCTCCAAGACTTTATTAATGTACCCTAATACATTAATATTAGGGTGCCACCTCATTGCTTCTGCCACCTGATGGCTGCCACCTGATTGCTTCTTCTGTCCTGCTTACCCTGTGTCTCTAGCAGGCAGTGTATAGCCATATACATAGTAGAATCTCAGTCAATATTTATTAAATAAATGGAAGATGCCAGGGCTTGGAATCATATAGGCTGAGTTTAAATTTGAACTCCTGGTATACTGTTTCAGGCACTGTGCTAAGTATTGGGGAAACTGAGGTAGGCAGATCTGATTCCTGTCTTCAAAAGTTCACAGTGGGTGTGGGGATGCAAGCGGGGAGGCAGGAAGACCAGTATAGAAACAGATCTCTAGTGGTCCATAGGTAAACCCAGGAGAGCATTTTAGCAAATCACCTTCTCTGGGAAGGAACTTGAGTCAGAGATACCAATGGGAAGCTCAACGGTACCTGACTGAGCTGTACTCAGAAAAGGAATTCCTGTTCTAGGCCATTTGGTTAGAAATAGACATTATCACATCACCAAGGAGGTAAAGTATTTTTATGGGTCAGCCCATTCACTGCTGAGAAGGCCCCATGAGAAATTTGGTGTCCTTGGGCTCCCTGGCAACCACTGGTATGTTTTGCTCTAAGTCCTTATCATGAGCACTGCTTTTTATAATTCTGCTCAATATCTGTAGGGTACTGCATGGGTACCTGAATGATCAGTTGGCTGGTTTATTCTTCCCACAAGCATTTATTGGTTAGTTACTCTAAGTCAGGCACTGTGCTGAGTCCTAGAGGAAGAGGTAGAAAAAACACACTCCCTGCCCTCAAGACTCATTACACAGAGTCCATAGACAAGTACTAGATGTATAACTACCTAGATAATAGTCTCTCATACGGACATAGAGAGGAATGGTTTATGAAGAAAGATGGAATCACAGCTTAATTGATCCCTAATGAATCTAACAAATGGCTATAAACAACAGAACATTCAGCTGATGTAAACCTATGCTGTCCTTAAAAATGAGGAGTGATTTATAAATAATTTGGAAAATGTTCAGCTGTAAAATAGGGAAAAAATGGGCACACAGTTATATAGAGAATATTTTAACCAGGTAAAACAAGTTAAGTATCAAAACAAGAATATGTAAACGAAAATTTGGAAGGATTTACACAGATATGGAAACTAAATCATTTCTTGGTGTGAGACTCTGTGTTTGCTTTTGCTTTTTTTCTTCTTTTGGGTATTTTCAAAATTGTACATAATTAGCATTCATAATTTAAAAAATGGGATGAAAACACCAATCAGCTCTTTTCTAAAAATGTCCTGGTTACTGTAAATTAATGAAGCATTCTGAGTGTGAGGTGTGAGGGAGGTTGTTTTTGAAATGAATGGAATGAATGATGTGAACCCACTGATCCATGATGATCCTCATTAGACAGAAACTTCATTAGACACAGCTGAGGCCAAAACTAGCCTGCAGAATCTGCTGGGATTGTCTCCCGGGAGCAATGGCCAAACTTGCAACGTAAGGTGAAACAAGTCGGTCAAGGAGGAAAAAGAAGTGATAAAATCTGCTGTATCAGTTGAATCATAACCTGTTTTGCTCTTTCTTCATTTGTCTTTTTCTCTCTCCTCCCCTCTTCCTCTCTCCTTTCTTGTCCCTTTCCCCAGTTTAAATAGAGGGCATAAAATACTTAAGGATTTAACAGGATGCTAGGTACCAGGATTTGTTTCCATTTAACTTGAAACTGGACGTTGTCTAACCAACATTTTCTATTGTTCACTTACTGTCCTAAGGGGCATGAAAAGTGTCTCAGAATCTGTGGAAAATGTGACTAAATCATATTTTCCATGCTCTGCTCCCCTGCAATTCTTGCTGTTTGGCATTCACATTATTTATGGCTCTAAGAATTATATGAAAATACATTTTTCTGATTGGTGCAGTCTTCCTCACCTGTCTACTTTCTCCTGGATTTCAGACTGTGTTGGTGGGATGGTGACAAGGTCCATGAGTCAAGATATCCTTGGGGAAGAAGAGCTTTCCTGGGTCAAGGAGAGAGCTGTGGAGAAGCAGGCTGGCTATCTATCTATCTATCTATCTGTAATTTATCACAGACTACTGGTGTTGTCATTTTACTAGTTAGAGTGAAGTGTAGAAACATTGCCTATCTTTTTGTCCCTTGGATATTTTCTTGTTACCTTTCTGTTATTAGTTTCTGTTGGATTCCACCATGGTCAGAGGATACATTCTGTATGATCTCAATTTTAAAAAACTTGTTGAGGTTTGTTTTATTGCCTAGGATGTGATCTATTTTGGCAAATGTTCTGTAGGTACTGGAAAAGACTGTGTAATCTGCTCTTGCTAGGTGAAGTGTTCTATAAATGTCAATTAGATTCTATTAATCATGTTTTTGAATTCTTCTATAGCCCTCATGATTTTCTGTCTAGTTCTATCAATTATTGAAAGAGGAGTGTTGAAGTATCCAGTATATTTTTTGATTTGCCTATTTCTTATTTCAGTTATAAAGGTTTTTATTTTTCATATTTTGCAGTTCTGTTGCTTAGTCCATATACTTTAGGATTGCTATATCTTCTTAGTGGATTGGACTTTTTCTCTTTATGTAATGTTTCTCTCTGTTGATAATTTTTTTTGTTCTAAAGTCTACTTTATTGTATATTAATACAGCCACTCCTACTTTCTTTTGATTAAGGTTTGTATGAAATGTCTTCTTCTACCCTTTTACTATTTATATTTGAAGTGAGTTTCTTGTGACTTGCCTATTAGATGTGTCACGTTTTTAATCCATTCTGCTAATCTCTGTCTTTTAATTGGTATATTTATATCATTTAAATTTAATGTAGTTATTGATATGTTAGGGCCTACATCTGCCACTTTTTAATTTTTTTCTCAGTTCTTAATTTTTATGTTTTCTTACCTCCTGTGGATTATTTGAATATTTTTTAGAATTCCATTTTGATTTATAGTGTTATTTTTTTGCTTTTTTGTTTGTTTTTTTTGCGGTACGCGGGCCTCTCACTGTTGTGGCCTCTCCCGTTGCGGAGCACAGGCTCCGGATGCGCAGGCTCAGCGGCCATGGCTCACAGGCCCAGCTGCTCCGCGGCATGTGGGATCTTCCCGGACCGGGGCACGAACCCCCGTCCCCTGCATTGGCAGGCAGACTCTCAACCACTGTGCCACCGGGGAAGCTCGATTTATAGTGTTTTTGAGTGTATGTCTTTGTGTAGAATTTTTTAGTGATTGCTCTAGGTATTTTATAATATATATGTATAATGTATAATATATATAATATACAAATATATGTACATATATAACAACTGAAAATAGAAATTTATAATATATTTTATCACTATCTACTTTAGTTGGAGAGCTTGGACTTCTAGACTTAGAGGTTTAGACTTCTTGGGAGGGGAAATAATATTTTCCAGTTTTATTATTCTTTTATTTCTGTGATATCAGTAAGTCAGGTTTCATAGGCCCACCTGACAGATAAGAATTCCTGGGTTCAGTGAGTTCAGATAACTTGTCTGAAATCACCCAATTTGTTAACAGCACTAAGAAAGCAGGTAATAAAACTTTTGAGTGGATAAATGAGTCAGCACCAAATTTCTGATTTGTTGACTAACAGAGCTCTGACAGATTTCATGGTTCTGGCCCGAGAAACTGGAGGCACTTCTTTTCTGCCAAAATTGCAGAACTTCTCCCACTTTTCATAAACAGCCCTTGGGAGACCTTGACAAGCACAATGGTCTAATGGAAAATTACTTATCAGTGCTCCCTCCCCTTCTGTAGATACTTACACTTATTTTATAAGGTCTTTGACATTTAGAAACATGAAAAACATTCTCTAATTTAGTGCTAATGTGACACCAGTGCATTTCGGAGGTAACCAAATATAGACAATTGCGGAGGGTCAGCTCAGGGTCCAGTGCATCACCATCCCCAGACCTAATCCCAGGGGATACAGTTTCTCTACACTAAATGAAGGGCTGAGATGTTAGGGTACAGAAAGACCATATATTGTAAACTCCATTAGATGAGACCCTTCATTTCACTATGACCCACACTTTGGGGAAACATTTAAAGTCAGCAGTTCTCATCCAGTCTTCCTGTTTGTGGCATACTCTGCCTCTGGGGAGAGCCCCAGTGGTAACAAGCATGGAACCCAGGATAAAGGAAGCATGAGGCAGTGTTTGACTTTCTCATCTCCAGTGATCCTTACCTCAGTTCCCCCTTGTCTACATTCTCCCTTGGTCATTGTCATGGCCAAAGTCTCCTCCTCTAAATCTAGAACTCAAATCCCACTCTCCATCCTCTACTTTCAGTTCTTTTACTTCACCCCTTGACTTCTATCTTTTAGACCTCCAGACCCCAGCTCTTCTGTCTTCTTCCACTTATCACCCTGCTTCTTGCTTCACGTTCCTTGCTATCTAGCTTGGCTAAATTATGTTATTGTGATCCAGCATTTCACTCATGTTTTCATGAATAGCCTTTAATTGTTCCCTTGTCTATATTGTAAGACCCAACCTTAACTTCTCAGTTTCTCATTTTGATAGTTAGGGAGCTGAATTCTGATAGAGAAATCAAGCTCCCGTGGATATTTGATCTCATTACAAATTCAGAGTCTCAATCGGCTTTTGGTGCTTTCAGCCAGTTCTTCTACATTTCTCCATGGTTCATTACCATCTTCCACTCCTGCAGCAGATGTTTTAAACTTTCACTCCTTTGCTCAAACCTCCAATTTACCACTACTCTTCTCACTCTCCACAGATGACTTCCCAGTCAACTTCAGTGAGAAAAA